TAAATTATAGTTCTGTTATTCTAAAGCTAAGATATGCAAATAGAATGATAGAAAGACGAAAGAAATTTGAAAACCGGAAAATGCGCCAACACACAAGGTTAGTAAAATGCAAAAGCCAGTCCCTTGCTTGTAAAATCAAATATTGATTATTTACAAGTATCAGGTACTTTCATCTTATTAAAAAAAGAAGAAGATTAAAGTTTTAATTTTTTTTAATAAACCTGAATAATTTTAATAAAAATAATCAACGTAACATCAATAATAAGAGCTGCCAACTAATGCATAAATTAATTAATTAATTAATTAAACTTAGAATAAAATGTATCAATGACTGAGAAAAACACCAGTGAATTGCTGAAAAGTGGACTGAAGAATTAAGAAACTTCAAAATTGAGGTGCAGAATATAATTTCAAACAGCTAAGTGAAAATTTTTATATTTCTATTAATGCTATATATATATATATATATATATATATATATATATATATATATATATATATATATGTGTGTGTGTGTGTGTGTGTGTGTGTGTGTGTATGTGTATATCACTTGACAAAACACCAGAAGTGTTGAAATAAAATGGCTATTTTTGTAGTAATGTTATAACATGATTATGTTATAATTTTTGAATATATATATATATATATATATATATGTGTGTGTGTGTGTGTATATATATATATATAAAGCACTATGTATATATATATATATATATATATATATATATATATATATATATATATATATATAATATATATAAAGCCCTCGTGGCCTGACGATTGCATATAGCACGAAACAGACTGTCGACTCTAAGTGTTGACTTCTGCATATTAGGTTGACTCCGATCTGGAGTCCCAATTTTTTCCCTTTATATATATATATATATATATATATATATATATGGTCAAGCAAAACTCGAATAGTGGTTTTGAATACAGAACTTTCCCGATTCTCGAAATATAAATCTCTGCTAAGTTTACTATCCATTAAAAATCACGTTTAAACAATAAATATATCTGATTAGTAAATAAATAAAAATAAATAAATCAAAAATTATCTTTGTTTATGTTAGGATACATCCTGAAGTGACATGCCATAATTAAATCACTTATTTAAAATTCTAATTTCCAAACCATGTGAAGCAAGAGGAAACCATTCTTTTCCCTTTCCTAAGAATGCAAGGTAATTCTTTTTCTTCTATGTTCCATGCCCCTTCAGGTCTTTATTGATTCTGCAAAATGTCTTGTCTTTTGTTGTTCTTGATAATTTTGGTATATTTGTTCAAAATCTCTCCAAAATCTTGTTCCGCCATCCATTCTCACGATGTAGGTCATGTGTTGTTTTCATCTCTCCATTTTGCCTTCAATAATGTGTGTGTATCAAATTTTTCAACTTCTTTTTTATTCATTATGAACCCATTAAATTCAAGTTGTCTCTTCCTGATGTTAACTATAAGTGTCCGTTTTGTTTCCATTTTTTTTTCTAAAACTTAACTGTTGCTCACTCCACGGTATTCCCAGCATCCTGCTGTAAAATACACATTTTTGTTGCTTCAAGTCTTTTTTTTTCTGTGATGAGATTGTCCACTATTCACTACCATATCGGAGGATTGATATTAGATAACAGTTCAGTACTCTTTTCGGTGTTTCTAATGAAAATTTCCTGTTTCTTAATACCTTGCTTAGCTTTTGGAAGGCATATTTCGCTATCCAAATATGCTTTCCGATTTCAATATCACAGTTTCCGTCCTCTCTTACACGGGGACTCATAAATGCTGAAAGAAATAAAAAATTAAAAAATCTCTTACTTAAAATTCTGAATTCTAAACCATGGAAAATCAACAAGAAACCATTTTTCTCTTTTCTCAAAGAATGCGTGACAATTCACCAATAATAAAGCATAGGAAACTGTGAGGAGACATAATGTCCCATGTCTTGTAGGGAGATGATATTAAAAAAAAGGTAACTGAAGAAAAAATCAAAGTCATTCGTGTAAAACGCTCCAAAATAACTTTGGTACATTAATTACAACATAGAAATCCAATTCGTTTCATTAGATTTTAAAAATAGAATGGGAATCGATCAGAACACAAGATAGTTTGTAGGTTTTGTTTATATTAACCATGTCTTCTGATGGTGGCACTTAGCAGGTAAAAGTAATATTTCGTAGGTGTTTTTTTAATTTGGATCTGTTCGTGTTTTTGCTTGTAAATGTTTTGTTTCTACGCACTTAAACACGAAACAATGAATGATATTTGATGCATGTGGATATTTTATTAAAAGTGAATTTGACTGTGTTCACCTTCGGTAGAAGGTTTGTGTAGAATGTAAGCCGTAATATAAGACAATGGGCGAAGTATATGAAAAAAGAATGTACTCTTTTGAATACAAGTGACGTCTAAATCAATCAAGCTGGTGGGCAATTTTCAACTTATAAATAAAGCGTGACTGGTTCAAATTAACGTTCCGCCGGGAAACCCTTTTATAATTCAATAAACGTGAATCAATAGGATCATACTGCGGAGATGATTATTCTAAAAAATAATGAGGGTTGCGGATTAATCAAACGACGTGCCGGGTGAGGGGAATCATTGAAAGCAATAATTTAATCGTGCCGTTATTTCTATTTGGTACACAAGAGTAATCAAAGTTGAAGACTTTTTCTTTTTAGGCTCAATTCTTATGTATATTCATTTATTTTTGAGGAAGGAGGGGTTGAAAAATTTGACACTCATAAGATATCGTTGTCGTCGACTTTATCTTGTATCCAAAGAATTTAATTTCTTCTTTGCTGATTGTTTCCTTTAAGATGATGACATTGATAACTAAATTTGCCACCAACATGCAGGGTCAGAGCTAGAAGCTTTCAGTTTCAACAAATCTTTGTCTCAGCATCCATTCCTTATCGCCATTTGGCTTCGCAAGTGTTGCATGAAGGTGAAAGAAAATCAGAGTAGAATGATGTGGCGATGGAGTGGTTAAAGTTGAAAGAAAGTGAGCCACATGTTTGATTTCATGGCCTTCCTATGCTGAACCCAATTATGGAGTTGCAACGGACTGCCGCTGACTCTGGTGCATATATATATATATATATATATATATATATATATATATATATATAATATAATGAAGAAAATACAGAATAAAACAAACAAAAATTTTAACATGCAATTATGCTGTATTAATGTTAATATAAAGTCGACGTCGGACGTTTCGGTCTATTTAAGACCATCTTCATGGATGTTTCATTTAAACATAATTAACATTAGAACATATAAAATTTAACACAAAAGACGAATAATAAATTTTTATATGTTCTAATGTTAGATGGTTTAAATGAAAAGACATAACGTCCGACGTCGACTTTATATTAACATTAATACAATAATTGCATGTTAAAATTTTTGTTTGTTTTTTTTCTGTATTTTTCTTCATATTGTCGGATCTATATCCATATATTTGCTTACACACTGTCTACTGGAAATACAAACCTGAATTTACTTTATAACATGGAAGACTTCAAGCTTGCACGAAAATATAAGAATCTATTGATCAAGTAAGGAAAGGATTTATTATCGAACTGTTTTTTTTTTTTTAAATTGTTCCATCGTTTTTTAAATCATTTTTGATTTGCTTTGTAACGTGGAGGACTTCAAGCTTGTATGAAGATATAAGAACCTATTGCTCTCTACGTATTCCTATATCAACGGAAGGGATTTCTTGAACTGTTTATATAAAATAGTTCAATCGACTTTTTTAATATTTTAATATTTGGAAATCATCTTCGAATACGTTTTCACAACATCGCCCACGTGACGACGACGTGATCATATTTAAACGGAATGCTGATCTTGTATAAAAATTTCAGTTATCAAGTACATTGAGGAGGTAGTGCCGCCCTGATTAAAGAAGGTGACTGCTGGAAGGTCTTCTGTCTGGCAACAGGTCTCTGCACCATGCCACACCAACAGGAGAAAACAGCCATGGCTTTCAGAATACCTCTGCGAACACATTTGACCACCTAACTCCCCAGGCCGCAACCCCTTGATGTGTGAGGCGCAGCTAAGCGGGAGACCAAAAAAAACAAAACAAAACAAAAAAAACACCTTTTAACACTAAAAGTGTACTGAAGGCAAGGATTATGACAGCATTGACCTAGGCAAGGAGACCGTCCAAATGACATACAGGAAATTCCGAAGTAGTCCGGAGGCCATAGTTAAATCCGATGACGATTTTATTGGATAAAAATTTACTCATTATTATTTCAAAATATTTTCGTGTAATTTTAATAAATATATCTGTTAAAATGAGATGTCAGCGTCATTTTCATTTCTGCTTAGTTAGGATGACAATTTATCCATCGCACCTTGTAATTTCGAGTGGCGCCTTCTGTAGCATGTCCCTCATGCGTAGCCCTCTTCATCCGCTGGATTCTACTGTTGGGATCTGTTGCAATCAACATTTCCTTTGTTCCATCGTTCGGCTGTTTGGGGTTAGTCGCAGTTAATCTGGACCCTCGTCTTCGACCTTACCACCAAGTGTTGTCACTACCAGGAGATTAGAACTCTCGACGTCATTGCCGTCAGAGTCATTGTACGATGCAAGGCCCTCCACTATCACGGTAACGACAAGGAGTGACTATCAAAGCATATATCATCTGAATGAATGCACAATGGGGAGTCGGATTGATATTAAAAAGATAAACAAGAAACTACATGAGATGCTGCCGATTGATTGAGTCTTTTTTTTATGCGGCTTATCAGCCTATTGCAGATAATTTAAAGCCAGAATTGTTTTTTTTTAGTTTTGAAGAATTTTGTAGGAGATTATAATAATTTAGAAATACAAGTTAAACAATAGCAGTGAGAGAAGAGGCGGTTCTTACCTTCATACCTTTCCTAAGGTTATTTATGCGTAAGTTATGCCCAAGTGGAATTGGAACTCGGTTCTCCGATTTCCAATCCCGTGTCGTTATCCATTACACCACTCGCCCGTCCAAGCTTACAACACTCGGTATTCACAAGCAGTCACCCAGCTAGGTACTAATCAGGCTCGACGTCGCTTAAATTCAATGATCGTACAGAAACCGGTATTTCAATGTGATGTGTCTGCCAGAGAGGATATTGTGGAGAGCCATGATCACCTATGTTCTGAAAGGGACACGGCACATAGATGAATATGCTTACCTTTGTTAATTTAAACATACCAAACAATGAGTTTTATTTCAAGCATGCGGATATGTTATTAAAGATGCATTTGTTTGTTCATATTCACATTGTGTAGAAGATTTGTGTGGATTGTAAGCAGCAAAATAAGACATTGTGCGAATTGCATAAAAAAAGCTATATATTCATTTGTACCAAATAAAAGTGCTGCATAGAATAAACTACCAGTCGGAACTTTTCTACTTGTTGCATTAAACGTGCCCGGTTCAAATTACGTTTCACCTGGAATTTTTTTAATAAATTTAATAGGCCGGGTAGTAAATAATCGTAAGGTGGATTAGTTTGGTTTGTTTTACGGCATATCAACCTCAATGGGTTATTTAATGCTGACAAGATTTTTATTGCTGGTAATATTTTTCCAAAAATTCATTGCTGGCAATAATCTTTTACAAAAATGTATTGCTGGTATATAAACCTATTTTTACACATTATTTACATTATTCGGACTATTGTCTTCATCTTTGTCGCCATATTTATCACAACGTTTCGGCCGTTGTACGCTCTGGCCTTCTTCAGGTGGTTGGAATGTCGAACTGAACACTTTATTTCGCTCATCGGGGTAGACTGTTCTAGTTCCACGTGCCATGTTTGATGGATGTCAGTTATCAGTTATCTCCTGTTAATTTCCCTCTGAAAATTCTCCACTGCCTTAACCGGGTATTGAACTCACACTCTTTGGGTCCTGTCACTGGATAAATATGGCAACAAAGATGAGGACAATAGTCTGAATAATGTAAATAATGTACATAATACCTCATCTCAGAAATATAGACAGACTCTATTTTTACACGTTTTCAGCCCAGATTGGGGGTTAACTATTTGCCCATAGCTGTGACTCTAACAGGTACTACCACCTCAAGTCAAGGTTGATCTGGGGACACCAATAATAAAGACGTGATTCTATCCTCCTAAAACCTCCTGATGAAAGGCTTTGCCGTCTTAACCAGGACGCGGATGTAGTTTACGTATTACCCAGGACGCGGATGTAGTTTATCGTCTTACCCAGGACGTTCGTAAGTCGAAGAAGATTGTCAAATAGTATGCGTGTCGTACGAAATGAGCAACTGACTGGGGTGGGTACAATTGAAAATAATAATTTAATTCTGCCGATACCATTATTTGGTGCCCGAGTGTAATACATTCGTTCAGTTTAGGTGCGGACTAAATAAGTTATCTAGTTAATGAAATGAAAGCTCATTTGAAGAAATCCAGTTCCGGTTGCATGGTTTTTTCACTCTTTGGATGAACCCTTTCCCTAATTGAGACTATGTCATCAGGGAATGTAGATGTCCTAGACAGGATTGGTCAATTGCAGGTTGAGAGACACGGTGGAGTAATGGATAGCGGCTGGGGTTGAGATCGAATTCCAGTCGTGTTCATTTCATTCATTTACGTGCTAATACCCTTGAGAAAGGCATGAGTCCATCTATTCTATTCCCATCTCTTCTAGTAGGACAAACTGGGTTCTATAGCCTTGATTGGCGACTCGTCTAAGAGAAAAACTACTCTGAATTCAAATCAACTCTGAGAGAGTTGGGCTCCGTCAAGCTATCATGCTACTGCGACTGTAATACAGGTTGTAACACTACGGGACACTTGATCATAGTATTGGAAGTTTTAAATTCAAACATGTCCTTCTCCTAGACCGGTTTCCACCCAAGGCTATAAGACCCAGATACTGATTCACATTTGATTTGAAGAGGTTAAGGTGGTTGTGATCAGAGAAGCTGACGTGCAATTCTACCCGTGTCCAGATAGGCAACCATTTTGAAAGGGGATTATAGGAAGGATAAGTAACGGTAACTCCATATAGTTTTCTTTAGGGGATTTCAGTTTTCGTCACACCACATTGAAACATTGGTTCTCGTACGATCACCAAAATTAAGCAACGTCGAGCCTAGTCAGTACCTAAATAGGTGACCTCTTGGGAATACCCGGTGCTGTAAGAATGGATGTGCGGGTGGTGTAATGGATAATGACTCAGAATTGTTAATCGGTGAGCCGAGTTCCAATTTCCATTGTCTTCCTTATATTCACTTGCGCGTAAACGCACTTGGGAAAAGTTATGGACCCATTTCTTCTCACAAAACTTGCATCACTAAATCATTATTATTTAAAAAAAAAATCCCACAATATGAAAAGAATTCAGCATTTTAGATAAGCTGCAAAGGGTTGCTAAACCGTAAAAAATGAATGAATCCTAGCCCCTCATAAACTTCCTATCCATTTGGTATGTCTCTCTTTATCCACTGTGCCATGTGTCCTTGAGGAGACAAGGTACAGTGGATAAAGACGTTAGTTAGATCCAGTGACAAGACCCAAAGTTTTTGAGTTCAAAACCTGGTTAAGGCGGTGGAGAACTTGGAGGGGGGAATTAACAGGAGATAACTGATAAATGACATCCATCAGACGTGGCACGTGGAACTAGAACAGTCTACCCCAGTGAGCGAAATAAAGGGGTTCAGTTCGACATTCCAACCACCTGAAGAAGGCCGGATCGTACAATGGCCGAAACGTTGTAATAAATATGGCGACAAAGATGAGGACAATAGTCCGAATAATATAAATAGTGTTCCTATCCTTTTTTTATGTTTGAACTCACTTTTCTGTCATCCATTTTCAAAGCTTGTTATGTACATTAGTCACTGTTTCTAAGAGACTCAGATTTTTCAAGCCTCCTTTTCTCAGTGTTAATTTTCCTAGCCTTCTTTTCTTATTTCCAAATTTACTAAGCCTCCTCTCATCATTTCTATTCCAGAAGTTTCAACTCCCTCTTTCTGATTCCAACTATAGGTGTTCTTTCCTTAAAATTTCCTCGTTACTGACATGATACGTTTATGGTATCCTCAGCGTTCTTCTGTAGAACCTTATCTTAAATGCCCTCGGCACCTGTGAGGAAATTTTTCAGCCTTCACTGCCATATAGGAGAATTGATATTACATAGCTTTTCAGCACTATTTTCTTTTGTTTAATTTGACGAAAGGAAATCATCGAAACAACCAAATGTGTGTGAAAAGAATAAATTAAAGATTGCCACCATTCTCTCTCTTTCTGTGTGTTTAATCAAATGTATTGGAATTCAATATGAGACATAACAATGTTTTCCGGAAGTCTGTGTGTTTGGCAAGTGTAATGAAGGAATCTTAATGCGACCCAGCATAAAACATTGTACGAACGACTTGGAAGTCATATTTGCCACGGGGAAAACAACATCAAGATATATTGGTATCGATCAATATTCGATACTTGAGAGCAATAGACATAGGAAGATCTCCGTTTGAACATTGATTGGGACTGGTTTGAATAGAGACGAGGCATCGCAAATCAATTGCCTTCACAGGGTTATAATTATTCGTCATCTCTAAATTTCAGCATTTGTATAAACCATCCCTGACACACTTCATCCACGTAGACTTTGTTCCTTAAGATTGATTTTCCGTCAGCTGACTCAAATTTCGAGTGCTTAGATTATTTATTGAATAAACTATTCAGTTTCTGGAATTAACTGCTCGCGTCATTAGAAACTTTTCAATTTGCCTTCTTGTCACTGTTGGTAACGTTTTTTTTTAACACTAATTGTTCACCGTGTAAAAGGCTTAAGAACAACGGGAGGCAAAGGGTTACAGATTAAGAGGCACTATTCGAAACCAGAATACCACGCAAGAAACCAGCAAGAGTGAAAGAGTAGCAAAAGGTTTTAGAAGGAACAGAAAACTCAACATTAAGCAGGAAACAAGGAATAAAACTCTTTTCCTGGAGCCGGGAAGTGTGTGGAATGGACGACAGGAAAACTTCTATACTCGAATTGAGAAAAAATGGTAAATCAATAGTAAATAAAAAATCAGTGCTATAGGTGGAGGCGTTAGAAGTATAATGTTGAAGTAGACTTTAGAAGGAATCAGAAACCCAAACCTAAAGAAGAAAATGTGATAAACCTCTACTCCTGTTCCAAAGATCGGAGAGGAGTGTGAACAGGACGATAGGCGAACCTGTCTATTTCTATCGAGGAAAAAAAGATATGTCAAGAGTACATAAATGTTCTGTGCTATAGGTTGAGGCGTTAGAAGTATAGTGTAAAGTAGACTTTAGAAGGAACCGGAAACACAATCCTAAACAAGAAAAAGGGATAAACCTCTATTCCTGTTCCAAACACCGCGGAAGAGTGTAAACAGGACAATAGGCGAACCTGTCTATTTCTGTTTAGAAAATAACACAAATGAATAGTAAATAAAAGTTCACCGTTATAGAAACGTTAGAAGTTTAGAGTTGAAGTAAACTTTCGAATGGGTACCTCCATTAGGTCACGTTAAAAAAGCAGCATATCACGATGAAAAAAGGTCCATAAATCAACGAAAACAAAGTTTTGTTTAAATTATGTTTATGTTGTTATGAAGAGGAAAGAGAAAAGTATTTTTATTATTATTTTTTAAAATTTTTTACTCCTTTCTAGCACGTAGAAAATTTTGGTTAAAATTTTGTTGTTTTAATTACAGAAAAGTTTTGTTTTATTCTGCGCTTTTCCCGCGGAAAACACACGTTAATTTAGGAAATTCTTGCAAAAATCAAATAATTGTCGGATTTTAATGAAACTTTCAGGATTTATTCAGAAATGAATGAAATTATTTTTGAAATTTTGTTTTCAGAAAATCTTGTTAAAAAGAGATTTTTTTAACATGTTTCCACCCACTTACATATTTTCATGAAATGTCGAGAAATTAAATCTTTAAGCACGGGATTTGTTTTATTGGTTATAAACAGGACTCTTTATAGAAAGTAAAACACCAGTTTTTTTTGTAAAACAGCTACCTGTTTCATAGAAATCTGCTCTGAATTATAAAAAAATGTAAAAAAGTACGATATTAATTAATTACAAAAGCT